CTAAAATGTATGATAAAGCCTGCATAAAGGATAACAAGCTATACATATCAGCTATGGACATGCATCCATACTTTTGATGACTCTGTCTTTCTGTGATAATGAGTCATTTCCAAAGTTTACTCAAGATCTCAACGTATTTAATTTGTATCCCCCGAGTTGCAAAGGCACAAAACAACATAGAACTAGGCTTAACTCATTAGTGTGAGCAAACGGCAACGTGGCATGTGTTGGTCAAGCACAGTGGCCAGCAAATTGTTTTTTAGAACCGTCAAAATATGATCCATTAATCACGAGAAGACGAGGTGTCTTATTTTAAGATAATGAGATACATTATTATTTTCTAATGGGAAAAACAGATTTGTTGTCCTGGGATAACAAGATAAACAAGCTGAGGTGTCAAGAAAAACAACTGACACATGGCTCATCATCACAGGGAAAAACAAGAGTTGTTGTCTCGGATTAACGAGATGAATATGTCAAGATCTCAAGAAAACAACCGCAAATTACTCGTATCACAGGAAAAATGGAGTAAATAAAATGTATGGATGCATAAATGAAACACTCCTGCGCAGAAAGTAGGTTGTGTTTGCCGATTGTGATTTGGTTTAGCTAGAGCCCACGACATAACTGAAACATTACAGTGATGATCCTGTTCTTCTCTCTTTGCACAGAGCTTATTTCTAGTCCTGTTCACTCTAAATCTGCTTTGTGAAAGGGCCGCTGATAGAAAGCGGGATTAACCCATACATAGAGAGCAGGCAAGACATAAAGAGAGCTTCATGGAGCACTCAGCAGGACAACACCACTCACTCCTTTCAACTTGTGCAGAAACGCTCTGGGCTATGACTGCTTTATCCAACATGTGAGTACAGCGCAGGGCAATTCTAACCCTGTGAAAAAACCCTCTTGCAACGTTTCAAAGACAGCACAACAACGCTCCTCTGCTGGCATCATATCCAAGGTGACACCCTCTCAGTGGGAGAATCTCCTTGGCGACGCCCTCTCCTACTGACACGCCTAGAGGTGGCTGGTGCCTTTTTGTAGGCAGGTGCATCCTGTGAGAGGGCAAAAGGAGTCGCCTCACACCGCTCTCTTTTTTTCTTCTTCGTCTGTGGGAACACCTATGCTGCTCCGCATCTAGTCTGGGAGGCAGGCAACGAAACCCAGATAAGAGTATTGAGGAGAAGAAAAAAAGTTGTTTTTGCAAATTGTAACGCCTCAGCTTTTGCTAAATTTGAAGTTCATGTAAATTCAGGGAAAAAAGAAGTCCGGCATGTAACCTTAAACTGCTGGATACTTTTTCTGACTTTAAAAAAATCAGTTTAAGAAGCTGTAAAAAAAAAGGCTCACTGGATTCCAAGACTGACCTTGATCAGACGATGGAGGGGTACGGTTATGAACACTTTGGTGCAGATGGATCAAGTGGAAGCCAGCAGGTGAATTATCACTCAGTGGTGGGAGAGACTCAGCCACAGCGTACCAGTGTTTCACCTCGGGAGGGTGAGCTTTATGTTCGGCAAACCTCCCACGGCCATGGACACGAAACTGCAGCCCAGCGATACAGTGCCACGCGCATCCAGGCCGGTTTAGGCCCAGAGAGGTGAGTTTTCTGGGAAGATGTCAAACTTTTCTTTTATTTGAACATTTTAACTGCATGTGTCAGAAAAGGTTATTAAAACTATTTGATTGACACAGATTTTTTTTATTTTCTGAAAGTGTCAGAGCTGTGAAGAAAATCCAACAAATGTTGAAAACATTTTTAGTATTCAAGGACAGATGATGGGTCTTGGCTGAAAAATGGTACAGGTGCAAATACAAATACAATACTTCAAATATACTCTGCAGAAAAAAGAAAAAGAAGAATAGCACAAAAGTTTAAAGCCTTAAAAAGATATTATCTAATGTGAAATAAAATGACAAACTGACTTCACTTTCACTGGCCTTGCTGTCATGAGGCAGCACATGTAAATCAGTGTACTGCAGTGGGGTCAGTTTACACTCTTCATTCAGATCAGTTTGCAAATGCCCTTGAGGTTCAATCCCCTGCATAGGACGACACATTTCATTTTTGTTTGAAGGCTCTCTAGATAATACTTTTGGCGCGCGAGCAGATGGCAAATCAACAAAATATGACTTATCTTGAGTCGTCAGGTGCTATTTTTAACACGGCCCCCCTATGTCCCCTCGTGTGCACAGACAGTCCTGCGATGCAACGTGAAGGCTGCAGGGAGGATAAACAAGGCCGAATCAAGCGCTCAGAATAGCTACAGTGCATAAAGGAACCACTGACCCATATCTGCGATGACCCACATTTAATTGGACACAAACACAGAGTGTGAAATGGATCCCCTGAGTCACCTTGGCAGACATATCTAGAAAGTTAAGATTAATATAGAACAAGTGAGGACTTCAAGCTCATCTGCTTACAGGGTGGTTCTTCATATCATTCTGTAAGTGGAACATTGGCTTAGCTGCAGCTTTATAATTTGAACACACACACACATACTGAATTAACTATTCCATGCATCTGCAAACATTACCTTTACAGTTCAACTTAAATAAACAGACTCTTATCTTTATCATGCATGGCTAAGACTGCCAAAGTTGAAGGTGATGGCAAAATAAATAAACTCTACAATCCCAACTCCGGATCCTGTTTTATAACTTTGGACAGCTGTTTCTATTACACCATCTTCAGCAGCTCCATTGCATAGAATATCTGTTTCAAATAAGGATTGGTTTATTATAAAATGCAAGTTTATATAAAATGATCAGCCAGAAGACTGATTACCAGACTCGTCATTGAAATAGACAGCTAGATTATACTTTTTGGCATTCACACAACAATCCTTCTTCATAGTGGGTCATATTATTTTCTGTGTCATGAAGTCGTAAAAGAGGCAATGACAGGCATATTTTCACTCGTGTGAAAAAGCAGCAAAGCAACTCGTGCCAACTATTGGCCCACTGGCAGCTCGATGACGAGAGCAGCATGCTGACATTGTGTCGAGTAATGTGAATGTGCAGGAGTGTGACGTGCTTCCAGGAAAAGCACAGTGTGTGTCTGAATGTGTGGTTTTATGCGGTTTATCTGTGCCAGGTAGTAAAAGGGCTTTCTAGAACTTATCTTCTGTAGGCACAAGGAGAGTGCACTGAGAACTTTTTCCTTACATAATACTGCTAAATAAATACAACTTTGCTCATTAGATTTCACAGGAAAATCAGGAGCTAAGCTATAGAATGTAATAATTCTCTGTAATGACCTCAGCGACCTTATGTTTTATGAGTATGGGCTTATTAAAACATGCTTTGTTTTCATAATCCACTTTTAAGCAATAACAAACACATGCAAAATTTGGGATGCACACATTTTTGGTTCTTGCTGTATCCACATTTTTAATCTTTATAAAATTAAGTATCAAAAAACAGTAAATTGAATCTAAATTAATTTATGTTTTCCACCTATAGTTAAGATGTGTATGTCGATAAGAAGCTGCCTGAGCTGTGGTGTGTTACACGCTGTTTCTCTGCACAGCTCTGAGGACCGATCATGTGAATAAAACGTGGTCGCTCTTGGCTTTTCATTACACTTAATCCAGTTTAGATGATTGGCATGTGACCAAAAATTCAGACAGTGCTGCTTAAATTTAACAAGAAACTTATTTTGGTTAAGTAAGTTTAAGATGTGGAAGATTTGATTTTAGGAAAGCAGTCAATGTACCATCTGCATCGGACAATACTTATGAGGAATTTGCAAAGCGACATGCAAACAACACATGAGGACATACTTTATTAAATACCACTAAAATATGTTATTGCAAAGACAAGGGATTAACCATAAAAACTGGATCCATTTGCTTTATGAAAGAAAATGTGTAACTGACTAAGCAATTTGAAAAGAACTTCTCAGGTCCTAAAATCCTGCATTCAAAATGTTACTCAAGCAAAAGTTACAAAGTACAATCAAATAAAAGTACTGCGCTACCGCAGGTCTTTCATTCCATCTGCCATCAGACTGTTTTTTAATAACAATAACTCCTTCCAGTATAGATACTGTGTAATTTTCCATTATTGTATTTTTTTTATTTAACTGATCTAAATATGTTTAGATGATTAATATTATATGTTATATGTTTAATATTTTTAACTTCTATTTTTATTTTGAATAATTATATTCCCGTCTCCTGTTTTCTTGAGCTGCTGTAATGCAAAAATTTCCCCCATGGGGGATCAATAAAGTAATAAAATAATAATAAAACAATAAAGTCATAATAATGAGATAATGAGATAAAAAGTCATAATAATGAGATAAGTCAAAATGATGAGATAAAAAGTCAAAATTATGAGATATAAAGTCGAAATTAATGAGATAAATCAAAATTATGAGATATAAATTCAAAATTATGGGATATAAAGTCGAAATTATGAGATATAAAGTCATAATAATGAGATAAAAAGTCAAAATTATGAGATATAAAGTCAAAATTATGGGATATAAAGTCGAAATTATGAGCTATAAAGTCAAAATTATGAGATATAAAGTCATAATAATGAGATAAAAAGTCAAAATTATGAGATATAAAGTCAAATTATGAATATAAAGTCATAATAATTAGATAAGTCAAAATAATGAGATGAAAAGATGAAATTATGAGACTTTATTATTTTCATTTTTATTTTATTTTTACTGGCGGAAAAGGGCTTCCATAAGGTTGTCTTATTTAAGCCATAAAAAAAAACTGTGTGTAGGAATGTGTTATTAATAGGCATGGTCAATATAGTTGGTTGTGCAAAGTCACAATCTGAAAAGTCCTTCTTAACTACTGAACAGTTTAATGTGTGCAGTGGAGTAAACATTACATATCACGCATGCATTCATAAAAAGCCACTTCAGCGAGCCCACACCTTGAGTAAATATTACTTCACTTTCTATCTCTGTTAACATTATCAACACTGACCTGGTCCAGGCAGAGGGTTAAACCCGCCTCTGCGATGAGAAGGGGATGTGACGCTGCTTCTGCTACATAACACCAACACGCACTGTCTGCTGCGACAGGCGACCACTTCTGATTCACTTTGCTGCTGACCTGCACTTTGACGTCTTGGGAAGCCACGATCGACCACTTTTTCTTCTTCGACATAGAAGGAAGCACTGTGTCTCGTCTATCTTCGATTCTTTTAGCCCCTCGACGTCTGTAGACTCACAGCTGGAAAGTTGCTTCCCTTTTTTGGCCAACGTGGGCATCAGCTCCATAAAGGTAGCTCGCTAACTGTACTCGGCACCGTGGGGGGGAAATGGCTTTTACACTTGCAACATCGTTCACACATCGTTTAACATATCACGCATTTGAATGGCGAAATAGTGCTTTTAAGTGTCGTGATTGTTTGACATCGGTAGAGTCTGAAATAAGCGAGAGCTAATGCTAAATGCTAACACGCTCCCCACATGGAGGCGCAGCGTTTACGTAGCCAGTGCGCAGCGCAAGTCTGACCTGCAAAAAGAAAGTTCGGCTGCAATGCACATTATCGGATTATTATTATTATTATTATTATTACAAATACATCAGGTTTATTAACGCCTAGTATTGCAGATGAGACCTTGTTGTTTATGTCTGTCAAATCTTAAATGTGTTCATTAAATTGAAATGTAGTGGCTGGAACATTGTCAATTACATGACGTCACAGTAGTCGCTTAGCTACAGTATCATTCTGCTGCTGGCATGACGACCAGTTTCCTCCCTACACCAAACTCCATTAATATTTTTGCGAAATTTGTTTTTCCGATGTCCTGTGAAGTAAGTGTTAGTGGTTAGAGCAATATTTAAGGTCTCATTGTGAATGGGAAGAGCCACTCGTCAATTCGGCATTAATATTTAACTCTCAAAATGGGATTTGGTGCACTATAATTAGACTCTAAAAATAGCATCTAGTCCATTTTGAGTGTGGGCCTAATGTGTGGTGACTATAAATATTAACCGACTCTAAAAATGATCATGTGGTTGTTTCTAAATGCCAGTTGGTGGTGAAGTGGGTTTTTGAGGGAGGGGGGGATTTTACAGCAGTATGGTTGCAGCTCTGCTGTAAAAAAAAAAAAAAAAACAACCAGGACAGCAGGTCTTATCTGAAATAACATTTTGTGAGCCGTGTACGTGCAGAGCAGCCAGCTAATGTTTGATAATGTAATGTAGGTCACAGGCGCTCGGTGAGACATTTTGAGGACATTGTGCTCGTCATTAACCATCGTTTACATTAAAATGCATTTGCATAAACCAGTAAAAAATAAATAAAATGGAAACAAGTAGCTGCAGCTTTGCTAAAGCGCCTCAATTATATGTTAGTGGGCCACCCGGCCATATTTCACATGCGGTCGTGTGAGGACTACGACACTGTTTTCATTTAGCTTGAGTGCTCAATTCACGCCTTGGAAATATTATTTCTATTTCTCAGAAGCAAAGACTGAAATTAGGCTCTTTTCTGATTCCCTGCGCAAAATTAAAACATTTTGGGCTTGATGTTTTTTCAATGTGATTATGGTATTTTCTTTTACCGCCCGTTATTTGACCAAATAAGAGGCAAAAAACAAGTTATCTTTTAAATTGTGTGCAAAAAAAATATTAGTTATGAGAGCTTGCTTTGACAAGCAGAGGAAGCGGTCGCATCTTGCACTTGCCACGCATGCGCATTGACTTGGAGTCTGGCTGGATAATGTTGACGTTGCTGTGGTTATGTCTTCCTGTGAGAAGATCACTTAAGCTCTACCTGCAGAGTGGATGTCTAGCATCTCCTGTGTTCAGTTAAACATGTGTATCTGAGTCTCAGGGCTGTACTAATGATTGAATTTGCATTTTGTTGTCATTTGGCAGCATGGCGGATTACTTAATCAGTGGTGGCACAGGCTACGTGCCCGAGGATGGACTTTCGGCTCAGCAGCTCTTCTCGATTGGAGACGGCCTTACATACAAGTAAGTTTCCCCCAAATCAAAAAAAAACCTTTATTTTATTAATTAGAAAATCAAAGTAAAAAGTAATGAGATTCATTTAAAATAAGGCGCCTAATTTTAAAACCTCACCCATGCGCAGTAGTGGGTGAAGTGTACGCAGCAGTGCATTGTAATGGCCAACACATTTTGAACCAGCAGATCTGACCAACAGTGCGTTGTCTCCGATGGTCATACGGCTGAAGAGCTATGCTCTAAAGGAGATGGGTTGACTTACAAGTGAGTAAAACAGTCATCTTTAAACTGTTTTTAAACTGTCCTGTTCAAAATCCTTTGTCTCTCCGAATAGGAAATTCATAAGGAGGAAGCAAATGACTGTCCATCTTAAAAAAAAAAAAAAAAAACTGACTGAAACAATCCATGCAAAAAATCTCAATCTGATGTCGTTAAAGTGCATGGATGCTGAAGATTCATGAAAGGCTTGTTTGAATGCTCAACCTGATCTTGGTCATGGGGATCAAATTTGCTTCCTGTGCTAAATAACTGCATTATTAACTTCATCTAACCATCAAAGTGCACAACCTGTCCTGTGAATGCAGCACGCGTGACAGAACAGCTTGTGCTCTTTCTTATAAAGTACTAATCAAGCACTCATTTTTCACTTCTTACTTAACTTCAATCTGCTCTACTTTGAATTCTGCTGACAAACAAGACCATTTAAGTACTTAAACTCAACATTCTTTGACAAATGATTTTCTTCACTTATCCCTGTCATCATCCTTTTTGTTTCTAACTTAAGCATTGTGAAACTTAATTGTAGTGGTTGTTGGGCAGGGAAAAGCAGCACAGCATGTTCTCTTCTGTAACTTTCTCCTAAATCCATCAGTGCTGTACCCCTTCAATATGTTTGCTACAGTACCTAACAACCACTTCAATCGATGCTTAAGATGACACACACTGCACTATCATCTCCACAACAGAATCCATTGAAATGAATCAATCTTAGTCGTAGAGATTATCAGCTGAAAGTTCACAGATTCTTTGCTCTAACCGTGCTGCCCCTGCTTAAAGAATGTAATCGAATAGAAAAGGTAATTGTGTTTGAGTGTGTCCGCGTGTGATTGAATAACCTTTCCACAATGTAATGAGGTACATCACGGTCAAAGCACAGTTTGCACACATGATAGCCTGAATTGACATCATGTGGGTATCAGGAGGAATTAGGGCAGCGGGTTCGGTTGGAGGACGAAAGAGTCATCTGTCCTCGGTCTCACCCCCTCCCAACCGATGTGTAATCAATACAGAATATTGTGGGGAGGGTTTGCCTTCTTTTGAAAGCTTTCAGGGGAAAGGGTTTGGAATTTTTGAGCCCTTTCCATACATACTGTTGTCATAGATACATTCATGACTTAATCAAAACCTATATACTTTACCATGAAACTTATTTGACACTGAATTTTAGAATACACTGCAAAATATCTGTACTGCACAGAAATGTCTTAGTGAGAAAAAAAAAACAGCTTCCTGCACTATAGAGACCTTTAAGCATGTGCAGAAATCATATTCCTGCCATGATTGGGAACTTTTTCCATGTACATGTTCTTTCTTTTCTAACTCCATAATGCTACCAACACCCAGGAAATGGCTTTGAAAGTGCAGTGTCATGAGTTAATGTCAGACTGAGATTTGTAAGCTGTTAACTAAACATTAGGACTGAACTGCATTTTATAAATGAGGACAAAGACTACAAAGTTCCTTCTGATCAAATGTAATTGTTCCACTTTTGCAAACAGGTTTTACCATGAAAAGCCCCAAACGCAAGACAGTTGGCAAGCACAAAACCACTCATTGTGAATCATAATTAAAGTAATTTATGTCAGACATCATAGGGCTGGCAAGGGAGCAAATACTTTTGATTCGCAGATCCAGCGTAGTATTTCCACTCCTGCTGCTTACAATAGTTTGATAATAGGGTTCTGCCGACACTAACCATTTAAAGTGACATGACTCAGACTTTCACATGCTTGAGATTGAATTTGTTCAACTTGAAGGAGAATGTGCAAAACGCTGGATGCCACACCCTCACAAGCTGCGACATGGAGCAGGTATCTGCAACAGCAGAGGGAGACCGGTTGTGGCTTTAAAACACTCCCGCTCGGCTTCATACATTTGTCTACATTTAACATTCAAATTAAAACCATAATAATGCATCAACGAGCCAGTGTTTTCTTTACAATCCAAAGCTAACAATGACCCTGAGTCAATAGATCCAGCCTGTGTGCTGCAGCAGAGGTTTGCGGCTGCTGCTAATTGCTAGCAGATGTCTGCCTGGGCTTCATGCTTGTGTTTCATGTTGATGTTTGTGGGTGTTTGGGCTCTAAAGTGAAGGGACTCCTCCCTCCGCTGTGTCCCATGTAGTGTAACTATTTCAGTTCTTTACCACACCCATCCTGAGGCACACATGTTTGTTAGCAAAACAGTTCTCCTTCTCTCATGTAGCCTCGGTTGTTTCCACCTGTGCTGCTCAAAATCGTACCTGTTTCTCATTCACCCAGAGTTTCCTCCTACATCCACACAACATACAAAGCTCCCCTTCTGTCCTTCACTCCCCATCTGCTGCCTGGTTTTTTTCACACCCTTCTGCAAAAAAAAAAAACCCCACTAAATATTCAGACTGTGGTTGGAAAACAAGCACACCATTCCTGTGTGTAGCTCTTGGTTCTGCACACATTTTGTTCTACCTCTCCTTAGAGGAGCTGTGAAAGGTCAACTGCAGCTTTATTTATTTATTCTTTACCAACACACAGCTACACTCAGTGTCTGCACACAGCCACTCAGAGAAACTCTGGGAACCATGAAGGGACGTAAAGGCAGATTCAACATAAGCTGCAGGCTCTAAACTTTTGCATGTTAGTTGAAATAGTTTCACAGAATGAGTGGACAGATGGTTTACGACCTAAGAGAAACTAATGAATAAAATGTCTCTAAAACATTTCACCAAGACACTTTGCAAAGTATTTATATACTCAAAATTGATGTTTTATTCCCCCCGATTATTCATGTTTACCCCGTTTTTCTTCAAATATAATCACCTTTAAAACTGGAATCACAGTTTGATCCAGACTGTTCACAAATCGAGAAAACATCCTCATTCCTCTGCTCTTCTTGGCAAAAATGTAAAGAATGTATTGTTTGTTTAAACCCGAGGAACTCTTCTGATCCTGGCAATGTAAGTATGAACTTTCATTGCCTACATCGGCCCCTTATCTTGCACCTTGTTTATGTCTTTCAGTGACTTCCTGATTCTCCCTGGCTTCATCGACTTTACCTCAGACGAAGTGGTGAGTACAGCAACGTGTGTTAAAATATTTAAAACACAATTTAAGGCTTTTGTGATGGTTGGTTTAAAAAAAAAACAAAAAAAAAAACAGAGGTACAGCTTTGTCCACAGTGGGTGTCAAAATAGACCCAAACCAAAAGCTGCCCTTAGTAACTTTAAAGCACAAAAAGTGCAGCAAGTTGTGTTATTGCTTCCAAAGTGTGTTCCTCTTTAGTATCAAAAGTCAGTTAAGACTTGGAAAGTTATATTTTGGAACAAGCAAACCATGTCTTAGTTTCTTCCACACTGATCCAGAATAAATATACAACGTAGCATCGACTGCATTTTAAACTGCCATCTTTTTTACAATGGAGTCTTACAACCTCCTCTACTATAGACCTCAGCGTCATTTCTCAACCGCATCTTTCACAAAAATAGTCTTGTTTTGCCTGTTTAAAGTCGACCGCGTCACTTCTTTTTTTTTTTCCCCTGAAGCCTCACCAATGTGGTCACCCGCTGGCGGCTCCCTCGCCCTTGTGTTTACACTAGTGTCTGCTCGGCTGCTCATCCATCTCTCTTAGTGGATGAGAGGAGAGTTAATCTCGGGGCTTTACGTGAAATCCCTCTCTTCTGCTCCGTCCATTTTAGAGGGTTTTAATCTAATTGATATCTCTAATCTCTCACTATTGCTCTCAGTGTTGCAGAGAGCTCTTATTGCAGATGTTTGTCTGCCTCACCGTGTTGTCATGGGTTGGTTGTCTCCACAGAGTCTAGTCTTGCCCTACTTTTTCCACAGGATAGTGAGCCTATTCAAGCTTGAATAACACAAATGCTTCCACATTTGGCCGCTGCTGCAACTCTCTACTGAATAGTTCAAGTTTACGCAGTGATATTGATCGATCGTACAGATATTGAGAGGATGTATAGGTGTTACAAAGAGGAACAACGTGTGCATCAAGCTGTTGTGGGAAATGCTTCAGGCGTGTGATGTTCTTGTCCTTTCCTAACCCTCAGTTGAATTTAGCAGGTGAGTGCAGTTGTGCTCAGTTATTGGCAAAGTGATGTAAGCTGCGTTCTTCTACCGTCAACATGAGTCCCGCCTGAGAAAAAGCTCCATAGTTTATGTCTGTCTCTGATAAAGGACTACAAGCTTGGACACCATAAGACTCATTTGCAGGTTTCCCATGTTTTAAGGAATGCCAGTGTTTTCACACACACAGCTGAAGATAACAAAATGTGGCGCTGGCTGTTGTGGGAATCAGATGTGAAAGTAGAATGTGACTGTTGTGTTTGTAATGGAGTGTTTCTGTCCCTGAGTGGAAGGACATTTTCATGTGCTGGGTGCTTTACTTCACTTGCAGATATTTTGCATAACAATGGAGCATTAACTGATATTGTCAAGCTGAAAGTAGTAGTCGTATATTTGTTCTTTCAACTTGTCATGCACCCAAAGTTTGCCTCGCCCACATGGGTCTACGAGGCGCTAGGGAAACAAAGCGGACGAGAGCAACAGCATAATGAGAGAAAGCTGACAAATACAGCACAGTACATGTGAAACAATGACTCACTGGATATTGAAACAAGCTCCTCATGTTGAGCAGTAGTTATTACTTTAACAAATCAAACATTAAGTGCTCTCCCAGGATTGAACACTTAACTGAGCGAGCTGTAAGAAGAGAAAGAAAACATGTCTGACATTTTGCAGATAATCTGACATCTAAGAGTTTGCTGTATTAGTCAATAAATCACATTTATTTTATTCTCCACTTCTGCCAGATCTAGTTATGTTTAAATTACATTTTAACAGATCTATATATCAGTGTGCTCCTTCCCAGTATTTAGTGCTGCTTAACCAAAATGTCAAGTTCTCAAATTAAACAAGTAGCACACTCAAAGATCTTCAGCACAAAGATGCATTACCTCAATTTCAGCATTTTATCAAGAAATAGGACTAGATTGATTCTCTAGTGACGCCGACTAGGCAACAATTGAAGCATGTTTGTTTGACATGGCATGCTGCCTTCTACCTGTATTCACATTATTACTGAAGAAAATGAGCTCTTAAGTACCTACAATAAGCCTTTAAATATGTGGTGGCCTGATACTTTCATTCATATATTTAGTGTTTATAAAACAGGCTGAAATGTCATAACCCTTCAAATACTTGTGCGACTGTGCAGTAGCTTGTTTATTCCAAATGAAGTATGCCCCCTGGTGGTACATGTGCAAAATATTTAAGACAAGCATGTGTTCTTCTCTCTTTTGTTTCTCAGGACCTGACATCAGCGCTGACCAGGAAGATCACATTGAAGACCCCCCTCATCTCTTCCCCCATGGACACGGTCACGGAGTCGGCCATGGCGATTGCTATGGCGGTAAGAGATCTCTTCTTTCCCAGAAATGATTTAAAAAAAAAAAAAAATGAAAAAAAAAAATGACAAGCATTGATTTAAACGACATGTACTCATTCTTGCTTTTGAATTTGGTAGCTAATGGGAGGCATTGGCATCATTCACCACAACTGCACACCAGAATTCCAGGCAAATGAGGTCCGCAAGGTCAAGGTAAGCTCATGTACAAAGATGTTTTAGTAGTAATAGTAGTAGTGTGTTAATTGTCTTGTTGTTCCTCACTCTCTGAGGACTTAAGTCTTAACCTCAGACAACCTGATTTAACTCTCGCATGAACCACACCTCTGACCTGTTCTCTCATCTTGTCCCTGTTTAGGTTACGGTAATAGTCTTCCATCTGTGTGTGTTTTCTTTGTAACATGTGTTTTTGTTGTTTGTGCTTATTAATGTTAAATTACCTGTCCTTGTCCTGTGTGTGTGTGTGTGTGTGGGGGGGATTTCTGCTGCCTTTGCTGCTTTGCCCAAATGTAGGGAGAAAAGTGAGATGATAACTGTTGCTTTCTTTTGGTTTTCAGAGGTTTGAGCAGGGTTTCATCACAGACCCGGTCGTGATGAGTCCGCGACACACAGTCGGGGACGTGTTTGAGGCCAAAGTAAGGCATGGCTTCTCCGGTATTCCTGTCACGGAGACGGGCAAGATGGGCAGCAAGCTTGTGGGCATCGTCACCTCTAGAGACATCGACTTCCTCTCTGAAAAAGATCATGACAGACCCCTGGAAGAGGTGTGTATTTTCAGGTTTTTGAGAAACATAATGTCCAAGATTGATTCAAAAATAAAAGGGACCCATCATTCATGTTTTCTTTTTGCTTTTATCTTCTTATTTTAAGGCTATGACAAAGAGGGACGAGTTGGTTGTGGCTCCAGCTGGTGTAACACTGAAAGAAGCCAATGACATCCTGCAGCGCAGTAAAAAAGGTAAATGAAAGTTCATGTGTCACAGCAGCCGTTTGGTTTCTCACGTCATTTATTTTTTCTAACCTCTCTTTCACTTCCTCTGCAACCAGGCAAGCTGCCCATTGTAAATAACAACGACGAGCTGGTGGCCATCATCGCCAGGACGGATTTAAAGAAGAACAGGGACTACCCGCTGGCCTCCAAAGACTCGCGCAAACAGCTGCTGTGTGGAGCCGCCATTGGAACCAGAGAGGACGACAAGTACAGACTGGACCTGCTGGTGCAGGCTGGGGTGGATGTCGTCGTACTGGTGGGTACCACAGTGATAGATGAATGTGGTTGAAGGTATATTTTACCGCTGTACAGGAACTACTGTGAATGTCTAAACCGTCCATCTTTGACTGATGTGTGAATTTCATGGCTTAAAATACTTGAAATTGAAACTTTATTTTATATAATTAATTGTTTATGACAGAAAACTTTTGTTCCTGCATATTGTACTTTAATCCCAACTGTTTTTGTGTTTGCCTCTGCAGGACTCTTCACAAGGAAACTCCGTGTATCAAATCAACATGATCAACTATATTAAACAGAAGTATCCAGAAATACAAGTGGCGGGTGGAAATGGTGAGTTTGTTGCCACAGAAAATACTCGGCCTCTTCAAGCTTCGGAATATTTTTTTACCGAGATTTTAAAAGAAAACTTCCACGACAAAATATGTGACTGGAAAAAAGGATTTTATTGAATTGAAAATCACAAAATGCTAACGATGCAGGCCCATTTTCAAATGTTTAACTACTAATCATGTAATGAATGTCCCGGGTTTTGGGATCTGCAAAAACATATATACAGTATATAATTTAACTTTTCTACTCAGCTAGCTGTGACTCAAATTCTGCATTTTAACAGCACAAAAAATCTGAATGCAACTAAATATCGTTAGATCCCACTATTGGTTAATAAGTTCCTCATGGACATGAGTGATATTTGAGTATGGCACCTATAGTTCCATCTTGTGGCTGTTTTTAAAAACACTCTCTCATTTAATATTTCACAGTGAACAAATTCTGCAGAGTTTTACATAGAAGACTCTGAACAAGTCTGTACCCATGGATAGTTTGGCCTGTAGGTGGTGCTCAAGGTTTAATAACATTTTAGCAGCGCTTGAAAGGGTCAAAGCGATTGCAGCGGTGGAAGCTCACAGCTGCCAGCTCTTACACTGCAATTTTTTACAAAATCTATTTTTGTTCTTGTATAATTTTGTATTTATACTTTGATTTTAAGCAAACACAGCCCTAAGTTGTTTGTGGAAACATTCTTTTTTTTAACAAAATGTAATAGAGTTTGCACATTTTCTTACCACCTTTTTTTCATTTTACCAACCTACAGTGGTTACAGCAGCCCAGGCCAAGAATCTGATTGATGCTGGTGTCGATGCACTGCGGGTCGGGATGGGCTGCGGCTCCATCTGCATCACACAGGAAGGTATTCACCCTGTTTTTACAAAGCCTCTGTGAGTGAGCATGGTTAATTTAAAGGAGCATAAATCAGTCCTAGCTGTACCTGCTCTGTATCTGTCTACGTGAAAAAAAAGGGCTATTGTTGCTAATGGTAACAGATACCCTGAGACCACTCCTAGTTGTCATGGTGATCTGCCAAGGCCCCATTCTTTGTTGCCATGGTGACAGGCCTTGCTCGTGCTCCCAGTGGGTCACGCACTCCAACAGGAACATGAGAGAGAAGATGCAGCAAGAGGATAATTTCTTTTTTTGTTTCTAATGAAATAATCTTTTCATATGATAAGCTCCACTAATCACAAACCATGTTGCTATGTTAGGATGTCTGGTTTTTTGTTTTTGTTTTGCATGGCAGTCATGTCAGATATGTTTCAACCTTCTAGTCATGGCGTGCGGGCGGCCCCAGGGTACCTCGGTGTACAAGGTAGCAGAGTACGCCAGGCGTTTTGGTGTTCCAGTCATCGCTGACGGCGGCATTCAGACTGTGGGTCACGTGGTGAAGGCTCTGTCTCTGGGAGCATCAACTGGTGAGATTTTAAAGGTCATGACGCACATACTTTAGTGTTGAATTGTAGAAAAATGTCATTATCTAATCATCATGTTTCATACAGCTTGGTAGAAAATGTAAGCTTTTTTTGGAAACAACTCTGTTTAAAACAACCCAGAGGAGGTAAGAATATAATTCCGTATTTTCTCTCCCACTCCAGTTATGATGGGCTCTTTGCTAGCGGCAACCACTGAGGCGCCGGGAGAGTACTTCTTCTCAGACGGTGTGCGGTTGAAGAAATACCGCGGTATGGGCTCCCTGGACGCCATGGAGAAGAGCACCAGCAGCCAGAAACGCTATTTCAGGTATGTGTAGTAATTAAAGGCCAAGATCCAAGATGTTGTTATCTCATTGTTACCATTCAGTTTGGAGGAAAATTGATTTGATGTGTTTCCACAGTGAGGGCGACAAGGTGAAGGTAGCTCAGGGTGTGTCAGGCTCGGTCCAGGACAAGGGCTCCATTCACAAGTTTGTACCGTACCTGATCGCCGGCATCCAGCACGGCTGCCAGGACATCGGCGCCAAGAGTCTCTCTGTCCTCCGGTGAGTAGTGTCTGTGTGAAACTATGTTTGTAATAAGGGATTTAACTTAATGTGCCTGACATTTAACCATGATTCTGTGTTCCTCAGTTCAATGATGTACTCTGGAGAGCTGAAGTTTGAAAAGCGAACCATGTCTGCACAGGTGGAGGGAGGAGTTCATGGTCTTCATTCGTAAGTACCTAAGCTTTAAACCACTTGATACTAGACATGCAGTGTAGGGCGCAACTTATTCTGGAACAACAAAACAGTTATGTTAATATGTTTTAACAGTAAATGTCTACTTCGTCCTCTGTCAGGGCCTTGCACAAACAATTATGATTTAAATGTAAACTACTACCAACCTTAAATGTTATGAATACTGCAGTTGTGGTATTGTATTTGTCGTTTCCAAAAACAACCCAGAAAGGGAAGTGTGACTGAACCATAGAATCAGAAAAACTTTCTGTTTCGACAGTAAGGGCAGGTTATGTCATCTGACAGTCCTGAAAGTAGAAATAGAAACTTCAAATTGTGTTTTTTTTTTTTTTTTGGTTGATTTTATAATCACGTTGCTCTTAATCAGCTTGGCTGTTCATCCTTTATCGCGTTAATATAATCAAACCTTGCAGAGGCCCTGATACGCATCAAGATCAGTATTTTTCCTTTGTCGATGAAGCTGCAAAAAAAAAGTGTCATGATCTTTAGTTATTCTTGTACAAGCTGCATGCTGTGAACTGGTAGATTAATTTTAAAGCTGTCGTTGGTGTAGATATGGCCGCATCTAAACCAGAGCAAATACTTATTTTCCTCCGATTTTCTCTGCCTCCACAGTTACGAGAAGCGGCTTTACTGATCAGGAGGGGAGTCGGGGGGGGACAAAGTCCACTCCGTCGGTGCACGTGACACACCCAATCCAACAGTGACCAAATATTAAATCGCCACAACAAAAAAAATCCGCACCACCCACTACACCCTCTCTGGCCTCCCCGACATCGTACCCACTGTTACACTCTCTCTGATCCAAGCCTGCTGCTTCGGGGAGAAAAGAGGCACCATGGTGAAGTGAGAAAACCTTCAAACTGACACCTTTCTTTATGAACACCTGGGATTTTGCACTCAAGAAGGCGGCGCATCAGGGTTTTCCAGAACGACACAAACACCTTGTATCTTGAGTATGCATTCGATCCCACTTCTTTGCGTGCGTATGTTGATAGTAGTGAGATTGAATTGCGTGCGTGTTTGGTGAATGGAGGGTAGCGTGCGTCTGAGGCTCTAATGTTACAAATGTGTTTTGGGACAAAGGAAGTGAAGCTGCACTGGGATTATTTACCCTGTTTAAAGTAGTGAATCTGAAACAGCCATGGCGCAAAACCTATCAGCATATTTTGCGGATCTAAGCTTACCAGCTCTTCCCCGCCAGAAGCCTTTCACATCCCAGCTCTTAAACACACAAGTACTTATGTGCAAACTACAAACACTTGTGTGTAAGTGCAGTGTGTCCACGTACTATTGCAATCTTACCTTTTTTTGTTTTTTCGCTTTACAATTCATCCCAGGTACATGATGCTGAACATTCAGTTGCATTTTATTTTCAGCTCATGTTGTTTACCTCTTTAATGTGGATTCTGGAGTTTGAAATATTGCCATGATGTTCCAAAGACATCTTGAGCCAAATAGTTAATGTCCCATATCAGTGCATTGTGTTCATATGTTGAGCATGGAGGGGACCAATAGATAAAGATCAGGTATGTGAAATAGAAAAAAAAATGCATCAAATCAATCAAGAATAGTTCATGAAGAGGACAATTCCTCTGCCCATAATTTGAATACTTTTAAAAAAAAGACACACTTTATATTGAACTTGTATAGTCTTGGGGGCTTCAAATTGAGCATGAAGTGTTTTTGATATGCATGTTTGTTTTTTCACTAAGCCAAACCGGGCTGTATTTATATTCTGCTTTAGTGTAATTGCATACATACTGCCAAGTGTATTTACACTTCCTCTGACACTCTTCTTTTGAAACCAAATGTTTGCTCAACAATTTGCTTGTTACCTTCTCACTTTTCTCATTCCTGCGTCCTCAGCGTGGCATCAGTTCTCTTTTTTTTTATTTCTGATTTCTTTCTTTTTACCAGAGATATGCCTTGAAACAGTGATGGATAAAAGCTGTACACGACAGCTCAGTTCTGTCTCCTCCTTTTCTTACTTTTAAACGGCACGCTTTGTTTCTTATCTTTTGGCTTATGTGAGAGTACGCTTTTCTAACATTTTCATATTGGATGTCCTTTTCTGCCAGGTGTACTTTTTTTTTTTTTTTTTTTTAAATAAGATGTCCCAGATTGTAAGAGTTGAGTTGCTTTCTATTGTGCTAATGTGTGTACTCTGCCCTGCACATGGTTCACTTGACTAACAAAAGCCTTGCAGTTGGACGAATTGCAAGAAAATGTACATGGAAAATATATGGAAAAATATATATGCCTATATTCCGTTGAAAATGACTGTTGCTTGTTTTCAGTTTCCCATTCAAAGAGAGAATTCAGGTTTAAATGTCTTATTTGTAAAGTCCTGAGTCATGTTTGTCCATCTATAAAGCTCAATTATAGTGTTCAATGGGAGATTAGGTTTACAGTTGTTGTTTTTTTTTATAGTGTTACACTTTTTGATTTCTTGTTCAGTACATTGCGAAGTAGCTACAGTTGCCAAGACACAATGGTAGCTTTGCAACCAAAACCTTAAGTAAAGGCTTTTTAGATGGATAGAAAAGACTCAGTATTCAATAAATTCATTTTGGACTTTTGACTAATATCACTTCAGAACTTGTTTACAGTTAAACACTCAAACAGAGGAAATGTTGCTTTTGCTGTTCAATATGGTAAAGAAGAATAAATACATCAAACTGTGTATGGTCTACTGTTTCATTTAGTTTCAATGTTACTTTGAATCTTTCAAGTAAAAGAAGCCAAATGTTATAAAACAAACTTTATTAAACATTGTGTTCAGCATTGTTATGTATGAACATAAATAAATTACTAAGCCGGTCACAAAGGTTACTGTCTGTGAGCAGAAGCACAATCGAACAGTGATTAACTTAGGAGAATAAGTAAATACTGTGCTTTTACCAGTAGAGGGCACTGCTGAACCATGAGTAAGTAAGATGTAAGCAAGTGAGATTAGTGGCATGTTGATATAGAGAATTAATAGTTTGATAATCTTAATTCTAATCCTACTATCCAACATGAGATGTAATGACAGATTTTGGCAGAGTTTGAAAGTGTATGACTTCAGTAGTATTAAATAAGTGCTTAATTCAGTCACAGTACTATCTATTGGAATGTTTGAATGCAATAAAAACATTTGTACAAATTTCTTATCTCCACTCAGTAAAATGTTACAATTCTTTTGACTGTATCAAATTTCAATAGCCATTATCCAACATTTAAAAGTTACAAATTACCTTTTGGCTTTTGACATTCTTGGCACTTAGACCCTCAGACATTCACTAATGACCACTTAAGAAAGCTCAAACCTCAAATAACTTTTATTTGGCAGCTAAAGGTCTTTTGTGGCGTACAAAGATACCATGCCCTACCAAAAAAACCTGACAGTCAACTTGCTGTGCAGAGCACCCTCCTTGATAAGTCCTCAGTGTAATCCTAGTTTGACCAGACTTTCCTTTTATAGATCAATAGTCTCACTGCAGATGCTTAAAGAATCGATTTGTCTGCAAACACTGATGAACTCCTCCTGCACGGAGCGGTCTGCCTCAGATGACATGTCCAGGTCCAGGCTCTCCTGAGAGGCTGCACCCAGTGTTTGATAATTCCTCTGTGGATCAGCATTACCCCCTCGCTGCTGAAGCTGTAGAGCATGTCTCTCTGGGCTCTGGCAGAGGACCAGCGAGGACCCTCCAAGAGAGGCTCTGTAGAGAGAACAGGAGGAAGAGCTGTCTCTCCAACGTTCAGGAGAGGAAGAGCTGGAGGATGAGGATAGGGAGGGAGATGGTGGAGCACCTACAACAGTGTCTCCTTGAGATTGGACACGAGGGGGTTTGGGTATAGAGGTCATCTCTACACAGGAAGAGGTCCGATACAGGCCAGGGTCAGATGTAAGCGGGTCGCAGAGGCCATTGCTGGGAAGTGCACCAACGTTGTTCATTGATAGATCACTGCATCGTATAGGCCTTGTAGGGCTGAAGAGGCTCATTGGAAAGAGGGAATCACTGAAGAGTGCCTCGTCTATACTGCGACGCAGGTTGATGGGCGAAGGTGGCCTCAGGTCTGTGGTGGAGTCACTGGTAAACGAAGATCCACCTGAGGGATCTCTGCCTCCTCCATCCTCAGGTTTCGCTGAACCTTGTAAGTCCATATCCAAGTCCAGGTCTCGGTACGCCAAGCCCCTGTTGCTGTGATAGAGGAGGTCCAGGCCGTTAAGACTGCAACCAAGCCTTTCATCCATCAGAGTGTAAAGAGGAAGGCTTTCCGTCTCTCCAAGCCCAACAGTATCGACGATGGCAAGCTTCTCATGCTGGCTCAGGTTCCACTGGTAGGTCCCAGGCAGGATGGGCGACTTGGTTGACAGCAGTTCTGTCCAGCAGCTCCCTGCAGCTGGGAGGTGGTCAGAACAATAGACTGGTTGTGCGACCACCAAGGCTAAAGTGAGACAAACCCCAAGCTCGCACAGCCTGCAACTAAATTGAAAAGCCCACCAGGGCCAAGGGTGGAAGACCTCCTCCCCACCTGCAACTCCCAAAGCATTGAGAATTGCATATAACTGCAATCCCGCACATGCTAAAGAAAACAATGCTGAGACACAAACGGTCACAGCTGCACGGTCCCAGTCCCGGCTCTCTGCAAAGGGGCAGCGGTTGTAGCGCTCAGCAGGCGTTGGAGACGTGTTGTTCAGGTGGTAGATGTGCTTTGAGTCTGCTCGAACGTAGATGTAGAACACAAAATAGGCAGCAGACAAAAATGTGGCCAGTGCGACAAAGGCCCCACGGGAGAGAAGTGAAAGAAAGAGGCAAAGGGGAGGCTTTTGCTGGTAGAGCTTTAGCAGTGTCACTGGTCCAAATGCAGCGGCAAAGTGCAGGACAACAAGGCAGGCCAGGAAACACGGTCTCTGGAAGGCTGAGTAGGAGAGCTGCATTCTTGAACGCATGGAGAGAAGAAGGAAAACAAGGCCGAAAGCTGCAGTCAAGCAGGGAAACGGGGCTTCGAAGAGCATCATTGAGGCTTCTGTGGAGGGTAAGCGGTCCTGGTGGCCGTAGGCATCATATAGGAGTGAAAAAGATCTGGTACAACCAGCAGCAAGTAGAAAAAGGCTCACCAGGGCAAAGTAGCCACATCCCGATGGGCATCGTAGTGGCAAACAGAGCAGATTCAGCGCTGAGGCTAGTGTTAGCATTGCAAAGGCGCAGCCAGAGCCGTAAACATGCGCCTCCCATGCCATGCCCCAAGCTGCCATTGCACTGTTCCAGTCAGTGTACAGGGGCACCAACATGGGAGGCGCTGGGATCAGGAAGGGGTTGATTGATTGGTTTGTGGCAGTGGTGTTCTGTGGTTGCTTGATATCTGAGGGGGTCGTGGAGTCCCAGGTGTCGGAGAGGTTGCAGATCCCGGAGTGCTCCTTATTGCAGTCTGGAAGGAAGGTGATGTGGCTGTCCATCGGGCTGGACATCCAGTCTTCAGTGTATGTTGGAATATTGGCACTTTCTTCGGGAATGCCTGGGGGGAAAAGCAGGATACAGTTTGATCAAACTTTGGAGTAAACAAGAATAATATTTGAATGAGTTATTGAAGTGCAAAAGAACAAGAAAATTCCTAATCTTGGAAAAGGCTTGAGTTGTAAATGTCTACTTTTATATCACTGCATACTAATGGTGCACTCATGAGAAAACGTAGAAGTGTTAAATTGGCGTTCAAACTATGTGAGCCAGAAAACATCTTGGCACAGATCCAGGACGGTGAAAGCGTGCTTTCCTCTTAATGTGCTAATCCTGTTTAAAAGCTTGTAAGAAGCCAACTTCAAACAGAGCAGGGCCTAGAAGAAAAGGCAGTGGTGTGTGTGTGTATGTGTGTGTATGTGTGTGTGTGTGTGTGTGTGTGTGTGTGTGTGTGTGTGTGTGTGTGTGTGTGTGTTTTACAGATCAGCCCACTCAGAACCACAGAGCTGGGTTCTCTTGCATTACGTAAGCCATCTGGAGTTTCGATGCAAGAACGGGTTATTATGATTGCTTTGGACATGTTTTAACACTGCAAAGGAAATGGGTTTGCTTTGGAAATGATGGAGTTAACATATGTATGCTTGAACATCAAAGAAACGCCTGCAAACCTCTTTTGTAACGTACATGTTTATGTTGTTCAATTACTAAATTATGACTTAAAAAAGGATGTAGCCTAAGTTCACTTCACACAGCGTTATGTCTCATAGACGGTCAAAACACAAAAAAATGTCAGCCTCCAAGTCCTGTAATAATCAAGCCGCACATGTTTTTTTCCATGTACCATTACCATCTCTACATACATGCAATCTTACCGCCACAAAAAAGTATAATAATGCCCATTTATAAACCTTGCATTTAAAGAGGGAAACCGCTTCTAATTACATCCGCGTCATTAGTACACATACAGGCTCATCAGTCATTTTGCTGCAGGCTTATTAGAGACAATCACTCCTCCATAAAGAGCCAGGTGCTATAATGGACCACTGAGACAGGAACAAATGAACAGGATAAACTGACAGCTCAGTAAATCACACAGCAGGCAGGTTTAGTGAAGTGTGAGCTCATAAATTATTAAGTCCACCTAGGTTGATTAGTCCATGTTTGTCAGCAGAAATATGGAAAATCTACAGGTCTGATTTTCATATAACATGGTGGGTTGATGTAGCATATGCTAAGGAAGAACCTGTTGCATTTTTAGAATAGATCTGGATTCAACTCACTAGCAAGCCACACATTGTGCAAAGTGAATGGTGCTGCACACAGCTGACATGATGCTTTAACTAGAACAACAGACATGTTTTGATATTCTTATTTTTGGAAATATAACTGGACGTATAAAGAATGTGGTTGTATTTGCAAATATACATTAGACGACTCTCTTTTAAATTCTCTTCTTGTTTTAATATTGTTTCGGTGTGAAACGAGGAATGCTTTTTATGTGTGAGAAGTTTCTTCAAACAGCCAAACAACATTGTCATAGCTTTTTTTCTAATACTGTGGGGAAAAAAAGGGTTTCAACATGCCCAAGGATGCCTGGTGAATATATTACATGTAGCGGCCATATAATGTGCCACTTTGAGAACTTAAATGTGCAGACATCAGAACCACAAAACCTCTAAATCTTTGCGTTTACGTTAAAGATGTCTAATGTGTTTCCCAAGTCAAACTAAAAGAGGAATTCATGCGGTTTAGCTTTTTTGCTTAACATCTTTATCATCTGTCTTTTATGCTTTTATGGGTTGTGTCTTTGAGTTTCCCATCCCACCCTGTCCTGTCCCCCTAATTCGCTCTTTTGTTTATGATTCCCCTTTAACACCCGCCTTCAAAAAGAGGAAACTCCCGTAGGTGGGTATGTTATTTTTAAACTGGGACAGTTCTCTTTGAGTGCCCTGATTTTTTTTTACAAGCCTCCTCTCAGACTTTCTGCCTCTGCTGCTCTCTGATTTTTTTTTCTAGAATGGTATAGATCAAATGCTGCATGGCAGCTGCTGCTTCCATTATGTTTTACATGGAAAGTTGTTTACAGTGTACGTCTGCTTTTAGCATTCTGATGTCACAGCCTGTAGCTCTTTCAGTTGCATTTATCTGAATCTTTTTCTTGTACAATTTGTCTGTGTATGTTTATGTCCATTTGTTTATTGGTGCATTTACATAGTTTTGGACTCAATATTGTACTCTTTGTGAACAAAGCTTTGCTATTTTCTTCCTTCAGATCTTCAAGAGTGGAGTAGTATTTTCACAAGTGCTTTGTTAAAAGCTTTGGCACTGCCCTGTTGTCGGCCTGCTGTTGACAAAGTCCTTATCATTTTACCTCATTCATCTCCTGACCCAAGAGCTCAATCACCGTCACAGCCTGAGATGAAAACGTCAAGGTTGATGAAATACGACCCGGCTGCCAGGTGTCTATGCTTCTCCTACTGTAGCTTAACACAGCAGTTTTACTCATGAAATCCTGACGCGTCTTTTGTAGCTTAATCACATCCTCAACAGCAGGGAAAAACAAGAAATGATGATGCTTTTTCACTGATTCATTGTTTTTAATTAAACCCTAATGAATATTTATTAGAAAAAGTAAAACAGTGTTACAGCGGTTCCCTTTTGCATCTTTCTAATAATCATCCTTCACAGTTTCACAGAACGGTATTGTTAAGCGCAAATATGGCAGGAAACAGTGAGAGAGATGTGTGAACATTATTCTACATTCAGATATGACTCTCACTGACACAGTGCTCGATGTTCTGCCAGAAAAGTAAAAGCAGTACAGTCATTAAGTCAAGTTTGGCAAATGGACCAAACACACTGTTCTATACTGCCATCACGTGATATGCCTGGAGGAATGACTGAATTATAAATGCAGTTGATTAATTATCAAAGCAATGTCCTAAATTGTCATGGCTTTTCTGCCATCAGAAGGTCAGTTTGATCAGTAAAATCGGTAGCATAATTCTTATAGTGAGAATGAATGTCATGGTTATCCATCCAGTAGTTGTTTGGACCAAAATGTCTGACTTGGCCATCCAAATTGCTGTAGCCAGCTTGGCTCAAAGTAAAACGTTTTTACTGATCACATGAATCTTTTCTTGTTGCACTACATAAAAAAAAAAAAAAGAATTGGGATTCACGCGCCATGCTCTAAAACTCATGAAAACGATTTTGTGACAAGAGTAAGAAAATAAAGAGGGATTATATTCAATCTTGTTGAAAGTATTAACAAGGGTGTCAAATATGTCCTTTGAGCTGCACTGTATGACTGCACTGACAATGTCACCCTAACAAAACACACATTAGCCGTGTCGGAAACGTGGCCGATGTGTAAAACAAACACACAGCTGCAGGCGTTTTGAATGTGGGGGCAGCTGATAAAGTAGGTAATGGTTCATTACAGTGTTGTGCCAATGACTTCTATGTCCATATGTTTTCTTTCCAGGGCGATGCTGATGGCCCTGAGTCAGGCCGAGTGGAAAACGTGACGGGTATTGAACTGGTGCTATGTTTTGTTTTCCCCGCTCATGTCAATAAATGTCACATCGGAGCTGTCGGGCCAGCCAAGCGGGCCGCAAAGAGTTTGGTATTTGATGGCTGCAGTACAAGGATGGATCAGAGCGTTACGTTCCACTGCATACTGCCTGGTCATCTGACACATTCCTGTGGGAACAACTTTCTCATGCTAGGGATAGAGACACACAGCCTGAAAACTAAAGGGTCTGTGGGCATGAACAATGTGGCTATTTTAACTATTAAAACTTTAATATTCATGTAAGTACATTTAAAATGTGTTCTGTCCACCTGCCCAGTATCAGCAGATAGACAAAGTTAGCAACGAGCTAAAGGAGATGAAGCTATTGAATCAAATATTTCTCTCAGGAGTTGATTATCCAAAGGTAGAGCCAAAGGACAGTGAATACTGATCAAGTGGCCAGAAACATATCTCCAAAATAATGTTGTTAATGTTGTTATGAGGGAGTGTAAATAAAGAACTTGTTACCTAACAGTTTGCCATATCAACTTAAAAGTAAGCGATTTGTCAATGTTGTGTTATAACTTCTATCTTCTGCCTTGAATTACCACTTCAATAGAGGAGTAGCGAGTATGCTAACAATGCTCTAAGGCTATAGGCTACTGAGGCAGCAGTGCTTTGAGCTAAATGCTAAATCTTAGACTTTTTAGTAGAGCGTGTTATCATGCTACCATTTGCAAATTAGTGCGAACAAAATTGAGCTAACAGCTTAGGGTTTTCTTAGGATGTTAAAGTCTGGACCAGTCGAGCAAAGGACAAAAAACCAACAGATATTCCTAGCATGCTAGGCTACAATAGCATGGCTTAAAAGTCTTAATTTGATCAACATTGCCGTATTCAACATCAAATCCTCCAGGATGCTTGCACATAAAACTGATCATTGAGAAAGTTTTAGTACTAATCAATTAATCTTCTGGAGGTATATTAAGACTATGAGGTTAATTATTTAAACAAATCAATGGCTCAGACTACAAATGAACTCGTGAATCTTCTTAACTCAGAAAACCAACACCACACACTAAAACTTTCTTCATGGTTAATTTATTCTAAGGAGTATCTACATTTGGGCCTAAATAGAAACACTATTAGTTGGCTAGTAAAAGAGTTTAATGGGTCTCCTCTAACACACATTAGTCTATGGACAAGTTAAGGTTTAAGAAAAAGGTGAAGAAAAGAATGAACCTACATGTTTAATTGGCTGCATGTTGATTCTACATTATATAACTGAGAGCTCAATGTTTTTTTCTCCCTGATTGCCTTCATTTGGATTTCAGGTTGGATCACATCAGAAAAAGCAATTTAGTGGACGCTCATGGAGAAATTCAATCAGGCATAAGGAAGGAAGGCAAAAGGAAGAGCCAGTCCAAATCTGAGGCACTTAATGCAAAATCACCTGCTTGGGGTTAATTTAAGCAAATGGTTTAGCTCGTATAATAAGTTTGTTTACTTCCAGTCGATATTTTCAACAACAGATTTTTGCTCTGGGGAGGGCTCATTTAATTGGCAGGCAGACTGACAGTCTAGTAACATTATTGTTTCAATCACTCACTCATGACACACCGAGCCACAGAGACCCCCTTAGTGTCTTGTCTTGAACGACTGGCACATTTGACAGGTCTATTTTTGTAAATCACTTGACAACATCTGCTATTCTGGGACGAGGTAATGTGGGTTACATCTGCTCCTGTGAACTGGGCTGAGAGTCTTTTAATGAATGTATTTGACCAAAAGTCAAGTTCATGATGAAGGACTAATATAGAGATTACATGTAAAGATTTTCAAACTGATATTTTGTCTGATTTTACATAAGAATTAACAGAACAACTAATATATATTTGTAATAAGTTACTGTCAACAAATCCTATGAAAAGACCAAAAACCAACTCTTCTTTATATCCAAAGCCAGATAAAGCTAATTCTTTGGACCATAGACCTCCACTGTTGTCTGAAAACAATTACAAACACAACAATTCACCATAATGGATAACATATTCTCTCATTTCTAAAAACAAGGGGACTTCAGTTTTCTATTTTCTCACTTGAATAGCAACCCTGGATTCATCCACTCTTAAAAGTAGTCCCTAGACTTTAGCGTCTGCCCTTCTGCCCTTAGATAAGACAACTGCCTTGGTGCTGGTGTTCATTATATTCAGCTATAAATGTGCTACATTATTTAAATTCAAATAATGATGAGAAATATATATTTTTTCATGATACCAATACCTTGTTAAAACTGGGACACTGCCCCTTTTTTGTGGTGAAAAAGGCTACGGGGCACTTAAACCAAACTTACATCTTTGTTAAGTCTTACTGTGACAAAAACAGCACATAATCCACATAAGATGGGTCTATGTTTTCATTCTAGATCAGAAATGCTTCGTGAATACCTCAGTATGTCTTATAATTGAATGGGTCTTCCCTAAAATCTGTTTCCTATTCCCCACAAAAAAAGAGTCAGAAAAAACAACAGGCTATTGTACAGTTTAAGGACCAAATTATCAATGTGTGTCTTCTTAGTTATGAGAAAGAAATTATTTAAAGATGGCCCTTATTTGATATTGTGTCATATGAATGGCCGTGTGGATCAATGCAGTGGGAATATAACATTTTTGGGTGTGGTGAGTGCCATTTTATCATTGAGCCCCTGCCTTGACGAATGTCTGTATATGTCCCTGATATTTTTTTCCGGTTTCCCTGACACTTCTTGTCAGTCATGATTGATTCGCCAAGTCTGTTTCAATTGCACTTTGTTGCATTTCACTTTTATTGCCACGCAGACTAGTTGAAACTGACACGAGCAGCAAGTCTTCATTTCGGTCAAGATTGCCTCAAAGTACTCTGCTGTCGTCGGCCGGCACCTAATCAATACTTGTGTGTGCGTTTGTGTTGTAAAAGGCAGCCATTGCCATTCGATCGATGTGTATTTATCTGACAGACTGTACAGGGAAGATTTGTTTATGTGTTGGGCATTGTTCCCTGCTTCTTCTGTTCTCAGGAGTTCTCCAACAGCTTGAAAGAGCAGTTTTCTTCTCCCGTTGGAAGCAATTAGAGGCTCCAGGCAAAGCATGCAGTGTAATTGTTTTTCCCCAGTCCTCTGACAGATTTACTGATATTGAAACAGCAACAGGACTGTTTATGAAACAAACAAGCATCCAGTCTGTCATGGTTATCCTCCTAGCAATATTGCTTGCTTGGAACAGATGGGATTTTTCACAGTATGTTCTTCAAATTTTAAGGGATTTGTTTGCTCACCTGGGCTCTGCAGCGTGGATGGTGTTAGCTGCTTAGCGGACGGCGTAGAAACGACTGCCAACTCTGTGTCAATGTCTCCTGAAGGAACCCCACCTTCATAAGCGTCGTCATCCTCTTTATCCTCTTTGCCTGGCAGCTCTGAGGAGACACAGGCAGTGTAACCTCTGAGTGATCTCAAAGGAATACAATTTAAAGAAGACAACGATGCGGCTCTAAGCAGCCGGGGAGAAAAACAGATTAGCAAATCCTGAGCCTGCCACAAGAAAGTTTTAACCTCTCTGTTCTCTGGTCAAAGCATATCTGAGAGTTCACACTGCAGAAAAACGAAGGACTACATTTCTTAACCCAGTTCTGTCAAATGGATCGGCCTTTCTTCCACTTAGTTGAGGCCAGTCGTCCACAGCACAGTCGTCTGGCCCTCTGTAGTCTAATTACATTGACATCCCGGATGCGTGTGTGCATTGAGGTCGATCAAAAAATCCAGACCCCTAGCTCAATCGTCTTTCATCTTAGTGTGACAAAGTGGAGGAAAAACAAAGACAAGCGTTTCATACAGAGACGGAAACAGAGACAGAATCTGAACGTAACGACTTCATCGTAGAGCCACATCTTTCTTTTCCCTTTGGTACTCGCGCTAAGTGTGTTTTCACAGTCAGCTCTGTGCACAGGGTTTGTGCAGCAGTTATTAATGAATGATGGAGCAGATGAGATTTTGGGTAACTTTCAGTGTGTGGGAAAACTGATTAGCTGACTCCATGATGAAGCTTGGGAAACCAGGTACAGAGTTGGTTTATGGATTCAGAATTAATATTAATAAAAGATACCGAGGCATAAGACTATTGGGAGGAATAATGAGCTGGGAAAAAATCACAACAGCTTCGAGGTAATTCTTGCTACTATAATCTAGGTCATGCTTATGGTACCCGAGTTAATTGTCAGTTTTAAATGTCTCTAAAATCAAATCTGCGCATAACATTATTGCACTGTTGGCCTCCACACAGCTGGGGATCTGTCTCAGTTAAATGAGAACAAGAGTGATGCACGACAGATTCAAATACAGCACATGCAACTAAATATATGAACATAGACTTTAAATAGGAAAGGGACTATGCCTCCTGTTTTCACAATGCATCAATTGATGAAGTGCCCTAAATATGCATTCTTTTAGGTTGCAGCCCATTTATAGAGGCTGAAGTCCTCAAAGTGGGTGGCCTGGGTGTAACTCCCCACACCCTCCTGATTTCCTACTCTATCCACTGTCCTATCTAAATGAAGGAAAAGCCCAAAAATACATCTTAAAAAAAACACAAATTATTTTCAATGGGATTCAGGGGGGCGATTCTCCGGCTGGAAAAAGATGTCTGATTGTATGAAAGCTGATGATAAAATGAGTATATGAGTGCATATTTTTGGGAGATGTTTGGATGAATTCAACGTCTTATAATAAGATGTCGATTAGGATCTATTAATACCAACAAAGATTTATCCTCCCTACATGACTCCAGGTAATTCTGGGGTTTTCTAGGACTGAACCCATTTTTTCTTGTTCTCAAAAACATATCGGTTAATGTATTACCTCCGTAAACATTTTACTAAAGATCCTGTGCTCTCAATTTCTAGTTTCAGGTCTTTCTCAATACAGCACGATGTTCATTTTATTCCAGGTTAGAGTAAAATCAACAATAAAGTTAGGTATTATGTGATGAGTTGCTTCCACGTCAACTTACGAACCAAGAAAGAGACAAAAGATTGAATATCCACCAATCTCCAAATATGGTCACTTCTGTTTCCAAAAAACCAACATGGCAACTTCAAAAAATGCCCAGCTCAGAACATCAAAACAGGAGCTTACAAACCAATAGCTTACAACACAATAGCACCACCCGCTTTTATTTAGTGTATGCACATGAGTGGTTTATGGACTTGAGCTTGTATTGCACTGTTCCAGACTTCTGACTACTCAAAGCGCCTTTTACACAGGCCACACCCACCCATTCATACACTGGTGACAGAGGTTGCTATGTAAAGTGTCCATATAAACTAATCTATTCATGAAGTTGAAGTTTTCCCAAAAACTGTGTCCCAGTTCCTGCCTCAGTTGATATCCATATTGAACTCACTTCCCTTCATTCTTTGCTTTTACAGTAAATCTGTCGTTTGCTCAGCATGTCAAGTGAAACGGAAGGAGACACACGGCATGTAAGATCCGCGGTGCAGACACTCTGATCTAAATTAAATTACAACGGCTAACAAGATCTGCAACAAATGAGATATAAGGACAGCAAACATGTGCACTCAGCCACTCAGTCACAAACAGTGGAACTCATCACTTAAGCACATCACACGCATAATACTGATGACCAGCTATTTGCTGTGACTCTGCTGACAGTGTAAAAATCAAAGCATAAAAAAGGGATGGACTTATTGAACAGCTCATCACTCCTCATGTACTGAAGTATAATTTTACTAATTAGTGCATGACCTGAAAACACGTCAGTCTGTGAATTGTTTCTCAGTTGAGGAAGAGTACTTGAGGCAGTGAACGGATATGAATATCTACCTGAGATGAAGCCTAAATTGAATTTAAAGTAGCACCCTTAGTGGGTGAACTCTCTGAGGCAATGACGTCCCTTTTGGTGCGGTAGTTATTTTCGGCGGCTCCTCATTATCTTTTGCCTCCAGAAATAATAAACAAACGATGATGTTGCACTCCATTACACTCTGCTTTATCTGCGTAAGCCCTGAGAGAGTTTGCAGGGAGAATACATGTGTGGGTTTTTTACAAAGACAGTAAGCTCAGCGTGATAAGGAAGAAAAAAAAAATCGGGTCGGATAGCAGCGCAGAACAGAGTCGGGTGCTCATAATCAGGTGCATAAATTGGATATCAAGGCTGAGATACTTTTTTGGTTAATGCACATGCACAAAATTGCTTCTTAATTCTAATTTTGCACATTTTTCCCACACGTCTTGCTGTATATCAGTGTGAAGAAAGGCTGGAAGTAATTGAGATTGTTTAATAGCTGCATATTTGCTTTAGTCAGGGCAGTTCCGCCTAAAAGCTGTGGGTCAAATCCTAAAAACAAACATGCCTCTAATCCCCCCCATTTTCTTAAAACACACGGACTCTTCCTGATTAAAGAAGTCATTATGAGAAGATTAGCATAACATTAAAGCCACCATGGTGTTCTGTGTTTGCCTTAGAGCAAATCTTTAAATCTATACTAGGGCATCAGATATTCATGTCACATACTCTTCGACTAAATCTCCTCCCTTAATCAATTAATCTGCCAGTGGATGTGCATTTACCTTTTTCCTATAGTGCTCAAATCATACAGACAATATATCCTTAATGGAGGGTGTTAAAGGTCTAGCCTTACTGCTGCATGTTAATACACTATACAGTAATGGAAAAGTGGGAGGAGGGAAAAGAAAAAAGGAGAATGAGGAAGATTTTTTGGTGAAAAATGTCGGTAGTAATAGCCGACGCTTTAGAAAGTCTATATTTGCATACTACATATCTCATCAGTTATTTCTTCCTCATTTTCCGCCCTCTCTTCTCATAATTGCCCTTGCTATCAGAAATTGGAGTGTCCCTTAGTGGAGGATTTTACATGTGCAGAGCGGTTGTTTTTTTTCATACCTGACAGCCTCCTCAAGGGCAGCACCGCGTAGCAAATTTAGCACTGTCGATTGATGAAAATCTAACCATGTGTGTGGTGTTGATGTTCCACTCATCCAACAGGGAACAGATTCACCCTGTGCAGCTTTGAAATAAATTCCTACACCCAGACAGATTATTCACACTGGGATAATGTATGATAATGCAGGGGTGCAGTGCTTTCATTTTGTTATTAGTATCCTTCCTGTGTGTCCTTTGGCAAGGTGCAATCATTATGCAGAGCAATACCACACAAAACACATGGCTGCATAAAAACCATCCTCTATTGGCTGTCATTTCTCCTTGAATGACAAAAAGCTTTTCTCCCTGACAAGACGAGATGTTTTTGTCCTTAAAAGCAGCCACAACTGACATGTGTGTCCATGGAAAGAAGTGACAGGGATTTGTGTTTGTACAGGGGCAAAAATAAAAAGAGTGCAAAAAGGAGAGAGGGAGGAGGCAGGGGGCAGGGTGGGAGGTAGATGGGAGTCTAAATGGCAAGAAGCATGTTCAGCATCCATGAACAGCGACTGGCGAGCGCATGTGTCCCACAGGAAAGGTGGCGGTTTCGCTGAGTGTGCGTTTGGAATACTGATACACAACAACAGCAGCCCTCCCCGCACCCAGGCCAAGCCCCTCTCTATCGCTTCTGTAGGCCAAAAACAAGGGCAGACAAAACACTGCAAGGTAGACTAAACATAACACCATCAGTTTCAAAGCAGTCAGGGAAAAGCAATGTTGGAGATACAAAATCTGGAGTTGGTGCATTCCAACACTACATTTCTATTTCCCAAAAAAAAAGGAACCCTTAATGAAGTGTTTTGAAAAGAATGTAGTGAAATCAAACAAGAGCATAGCTTTCCAAGGTCTATTGCTCTAATAGACATGCTTGCAATTCCATCTCTACTCAAGGTCCATTGAGCAAAAGTTTGGATTGTACCAAGTCCTTAAAGTGTTCACAAAAATAGTTTGGGAAATTATGTGACATCTTTACAAATTCAATCTGCAGAGGAAGATGGTTCCATATCATTGAGAGCTGAAGAGCAGCCAGTAAGTTGACGTACAAATCTGAATTAAAAAAACAAAACAAAAAACAACTAAAGTTTAAATTGAAAGAAACTGAGACGTTGATAATGCTGACATTTTTACATAAAAAAAAACTGTGATAAAAAATTGCATTGTGTACATTAGAAGCAATACAGTGGTTTGCATTTACTTTCATGTATGCAACTGAATGTACTTTAAGGGTTGTAAGAAAATATAACATCATTTTGTTGGGATACATTTTTCTTAAATGATGTTTTGGTATTTTTCATCATCTTAAAGCAACTGATCAAATTTGATGTCAAGAAAAATATATTTATAAGGTAAGAAGCATTAAATTATGGATGTTGATCGATATTCTTCTGCAGAATATCATTATGTCCTGCACATACTAAGTGTAGACCTTATTGTATGCATACATCAATCCAATAATCCCGCTTTTATCAGATGGACAGTGAGCCTCCCTGACTGAGAATAATCGACTCATCATTTTCTGGCAACACCTTTGACCCTACATGATGAATGTGTCTGTACCTGGTGGAGGACGTTCCTCTGCAGGCTCATTAACCATACAGACAACAGACTGCCAACAGTGGTGGGGGATGGGCTTTGTAGAGGGAGGTATTGGCTCAATGTCGAGTCGAAGTCTCCTGATACCTACAAGCTACCAGTGGCTGTGTTAGCTCATCTTATCTCCTTTTTTTTATCCTCTGCAGAGAACACAAATGCTGCTACAAAAAAAGAAAAAAATCCTTCTGGTCACTGATGTAATGGCAATGTTGGACTGGGATTTGTCTTGATTGTTTAAACTGGATGGTATGAATAACTCACTGGTAGTGATTGTGTAATGCTAAATTAAATTAGAGTACCAATCGTGCCAGTCAACAACAACACGTCACTCAAAAAGCTTTTCAGCCATCCACAAAACATCTTTTGATGCTTCATTCTCCATTCTCTATGTCATGTAACTATGAAATGAATAGTTCAAAGTCTGTGGGCGATGAGCATTGGAAATACAATAAAGATGTTTCACCCTTTTGTACTGTAGATGGTTTGGGTTATTGTGCTGTGGAACAACTCCCATTTCTGAAAACTCTCACGCTGCTTGTCCACAGGATCAGTAGCTTAGAAAAACCCAACACTGATTAATACCACATTATATTAAAACACTCTTATACAGCATCTCTGTGTAAGACATATAACAAATCCTTGCCACCATAAAGATTCCAGACGTGTTCTTGTAGAGAATTAACAGGGTTTCAACAAGGTCTGGATTTATGCAAATGTTGGACCTTTGACTTCTTACCATGTCAGAAACACAATCGATCACTCTGCACTGTCTGCAGCCTTCTGACAGCCACCTATTTAACCCTTAAGACCTGCCCCCATATGATTGATCACATCTATTGAGTCAATCCAGCCGGCATTGATTTGTTTAAGTTTGCTTACCTCCTGCTATTGAGAAGTTAACCCTTTGGCTCTGAGTTGTGCTTGTTATGGATTCCGGCACTAGTTCTGGATTGATCGCCATGGCAGTGGTGATTACCCCCAGCTGTTCCTCCATGGGCCCCGACCTGCCTCAGAGAAGCCTGAATCGGCTCCACGCTTAGTGGGGTGGATTTCTGTCATTGTGGCCTCTTCAGCTCGGAGGGTTATGACAACAGCAGTTTCTTGAGGTTTTCTGACAAATATGGTGTCTGAGGAAGTAGGGGCAGTAGTAACAGGCCTCAGAGTGTGTCTGGGCCGTGTGGTTTCAACAAGTCCTGGGATTGTTGTTGTGGTTTGGGCTGCTGACCATGTCAAGGCAGTGGGAACTGTTGTTTCTGGGGCTATCGAAGTCAAAGAGATCTTTCCTGCAAAGCCTTGAGCCTCCTCTTTATCAGTGTGTTCCTCTGGGAGGTGTCGTGTAGTGGCACCCTTGCTGGGCCCGGCTGCTTGTGTGCTGTTCTGTGGTGGGTGGGAATGTGTTGCATTTTGTTCAGGGCTGCTTGTGCTGGTGGGACTGTTGGTGAACACAGTGTTTCTGATAGAACTGCTCGTGGGAGAGTAGGAGTCTGAGACAAGAGTATCATTGTTAGTCTGCGTTGTGGTGCTGTGTGGAGAATCTGATGTTCCTGTGGGAAGTGATTCTGTTCTTATCTCTGTCACGCTGGTGAGGAACTCCTGAGCTGAAGCGGTGGGTGATTCAGAAGATTCAGAGATGCTCCAATCCCCTGAACCAGGATGCTCTTGCAAGAGGTCAATTGATTCTGTCAGACCTTTGGCGGTTGTGGTCAACAAAGTGTCTATTCCAGCTGAGCCGCCAAAAAAGCCAAACGATAATGAGGAGAGGGAAGGAAGCTTCGGTAGTTTTGGTTTCCACCAGCCTTGTGTATCCTCAGGTGGCTTTTCTCTTGACGGCGTCGGTCCCCAGAGGGCCTCCTCGTCAGCCACAGTCTGCCTGTGAAGCAACAGGAAACACCAGAAGCAGAAACCCAAGGTCCGGAGGAGGCGAAGCATGCTGTCGACAGTGGCGAAACGGATCGGTCACATGTTGCTCTCCATTCTCCTGCTCCCTGAGGCGGGTCTGGCTGACTCTCCAGCAGAATGGCCTAAAAGACGAGAACACACAGGACACTGAGCGACACACTTTCCATGCACTCTTGGACAGCTACATTTGAGTCGACGAAAACTTGATGAAACGAGCATCTGTTCAATTTTCTTTTCATCAAACATTTTTGGAAGACCATGCATTGGTTTTTCAGAGTGTGACCTGCTTTTTAGCTGTTTTCCATACTGTAAATAAATCAAGTAAAGGAACTATGCCACCCATTGCAAGGACTGCTGAAGTTAGCATTGGCTAAAAAAACATGTCACCAACCACAAATCACAACAGGAGCTTAAGTACTATGGATACCCCGTAATTAGTGGTGTCCTGTTAAATGTGGGGGTCAGTATTTATGTCATGCTGATGCTAACATGCGTGCTGTGTCGTAGTAGTTGGGCGGCTTCTTGGACTGCCCAATTAGAGGTCTTAAACCTGAAGAACTTCCATCCAAATGCAATCTATTCTCTGAAGAGTGGTCAAGAAATAATGTATGTGTGTGAGAGGGGTTGGGGGAGGTTTGAGGAGAATTAAGAGTCCGGGTTGCCAACATAAGAATAGAGGGACCTCTTTTTCTTTTGTGGAGCACCGAGTGGTTCAAAGTCACTAGCCTGTTGCCTCAGTGAAAAGACTGGAGCACCAAAGGAATTTCCCCTGTGAGAACAACAACCTGTATGCTTTAGCTGTACTTAACTCCCCGCTATAGTGCCCCCTACCCAAAAACCCACCCCCTAGCCTTGGCCTTGGTCGCTTTCAATCTCAGATTTATTTGCTCTTCAAAGCGGAAGGAGAGAGATCTGTTTGTGTGGGAGTTGGAAAAACATCAATATTCACACGAATACACAAAGCTTTCTATCTATCATGCGTTCGCTCTCTTCGTGAGTATTATTTCACACTTTTCCCTCATTGTCAGCCTGTATCCTTCTCTCTGACATGTTTATTTACGACTCATATTATCCCTGCCAGTTCTCTCCACTCTCTCAAATTCTTTCTTATGAAAACACAAGATCAATTCACCACTCGCTTAAGAGTCCATGGCTTGATCTCCCTCATCAGTTCTTGACCTGCCATCTCCCGCTCTGTTCCTGCCCGCAGGGATAAAAACAACCTATATACAGACACAGAAGCTGACAAATAAAGGCATACTTGCAGGGAGGTTCGAATATAGAGCTTCCCACACACTCCCTGGTTTTAGCATTTTGACTGAACACCCTGAAAATCATTTTCCAACGAGGTGAGGTTGTTTTTAGATTCCTTGTATGCTCATGCTTGCGCCAACCGACCCACACACAGTCACATTTGATGCGTGCAGAGATATTGTGGATGCATTCGGATCTGATTCTGCATGTTAGTGCAATTGTGTTCGCCCACATGTACTGCTGTTGTAGGTACATACACCCACGCATGCACACTTTTGCAATATGCTTTGCAGGCTTTTTTTTTAAAGACGTACAAAGGAGTCCAAAAACTAAATTCTATACTTTGGGGGGTAAGGGAAACAAGTCCTATTGAAACTTTATCATAGACATTTTTTAATTTGCTGTGATGTGAAGCTTGGGTCCAATTATCTTCTATTCCTGATTGCCTTTATGTTGATGTCACACTAACTGATCAATTATTTAGACAGTTGGGAATATGTATAATTTATTTGAGTTTTGGCAACATTCTCACATTTCACATCAGTATCACTTTCACTCTGTGTCACCTGATGCAGTCAATGGAAACCTATGTTAAACAGATACTGATAGAGTTGATGTCAAAATGAACATCTTTAAGCATATTTGAATCAGATTTATTCTAGATAATATCTTCAAAAGTTGTTGATAGATCTTGGTGTACATCCATTTATTTCAGTCTTTCAGGTAGTAAATGGTTTTCCATCTTGTAATGGCACAAATGTAAAAAAAAAATTTGAAACATGTTTTTTTGTCCAAAACATCCAAAAAGTAGTTGAAGTATCGTTCACTGCTTTCTATTTTGTTTACAAAATTACAGTTATCTACCATCTTAAACAATAAATATATAGTTTTTTGTTGATCGGTCAATGAAATACACTCCTTGCTCACAAGGTCAGAATTCTCAAAAAAAGAAAATGGAAAAAGCCCTTTTCATTCTTCTTTTACTGTAGCTCTGTTTTACTTTTAGGAAAGTGAAACGTCTCTTTCGTGGCTCATTGTTCTTTTTGTGTCTTCCTGCTCGCTGTAAACTTTGTTTATCTTTAGTTTGGTGCTGACTGTGGAGCATGACAAAGGTAGTTTCAGACCTTTTTTGGTGGAAAACAAATGTCTGCTGCAGCTGAAATGCTATTCAAGAGTAAATCGCACAAAAAGTAACACATAATAATAAGCTTCAAGATGTAAAAATGCCCCCTTAATCTGACGAGAATGACAAAGTTGTCGTTGATTTGCATTCATGATTATCCATAAAAATCTATTTTTGATAACAGCAGCCTAAATACGTAAACAAAACATTTCTAAGTTTAAAAAAATAGTTTCTAGCTATAAAAATAACTAAATCTGTCAAGAACATAATCATTTTTATGAATTAAAGAAATTAAATCATTTACTAGTTTCCTTTCATTTCAGATTGGGCTTTAAACTTTCACCTCGTCAGACGCATGCCTGTTAGTGTAGGCATTGTGTGGTTTGACAGGCAGCAGAGCAATTGGAAAGGAACTATAAAAAAAAAAGTGTCTGTGGGGAATTTACAAGTCCCCTCTATTATTTTGCTGGCGTTTTGTCTCGCTGCTCCTGACAAAGACGAGGCCTGCCACTGTAGTGTGCTCAATGGAGCGGAGAGCGAGGAAAAAAAGACTGAGAGGCAGAAAAGAAGGGCAGAGAGCAAAAGACAAGGGCAATAGAAGTAGAAGAGAGACACACACAAAGACACCATATTGACATTCAGCTGTGGTATTCTAACTCTAGGAGAGTACACTCTGCAGCAGCCTGCCTAATGCTCAATTTAGTCTGTTGCAGAGCCTCTTTCATTAACTCTGTAAACAGACTCCTGTCGTTCGATTTACCCTGTGTGTGTGTGTGTGTGTGTGTGTGTGTGTGTGTGTGTGTGTGTGTGTGTGCGCGCACCAGAGGCCCCCACTCACTCTCTTCTCTCAGGACCATCAGCCATCTTGATCTCAATCAGCCTTCAACCTGCTACACCATAATTCTCTATAGAAACTCCTTCATCCCACATTAATCTGACAGCGGTATTTGGATATAACAAGCCCCTCTGTGATCATAATAAGGCTACTGTGCTGGAGCTAACAACAAAAGCAGAATGACAGGGGGGAAAGAGAAAGGGAAAGAAGAAGAAAAGCTAACAAATCTGAGGAGAAGAACTGTAGTGACTGAATATGAGGTGTGTGTCGCTCCCGAGTGATTGAAATGCAAAGACTCTACAATGAGCAGTGTCACAAATGGAGATGAATTGACTTTGGCCAAAGTCATTACTTTTTAACAAACCAGCTGTAAGCACTGAAAGGCCTGAGGATAAATTACACAGTGCAGGCTAATGGAGTAATTTACCTGCCTGCAAATGGCTACTACTGAGGGTGAAATATTTTTTTTTTATGATATGTGGGTGTGCATATTTACGAGCGCTAGTTTTTTTTTCACTCTGCATTATTTCCAGGGTTACATGTTGCACTGGTAATTACATGTGCATCCTCCCACATGCTGTTCAGTCCTGTAGTTTCAATTGCTGCTCTTTAAAATCAGCGCCTAAATCTCCCCTCTAAGGAGTCAACTTATGGCTTTTTCCTGTTGTCCTCTCCTGACTTTGTCGCTATGGGGGGATGTCAATACTGCGCGAATTCAATCTGACTGGCCGCTTTAAGCCAGCAGGGATTTATTCTGCAAAAAGCAACACATTTGAGGGGCTTTTATAAAGTGCTGGGGAGCTTAACGTCGCAAACAAGTGTCTGATTATCCTTCTGTCAATCTACATATGTAGTTGTCATTTCGGTCATGGTAAACTCTCCTGACTGCTCTTAGAAAAAAAAACATCACAACACAAACACAAACCATACATACATCTCAGGTGAGTGATGTCCTTTCATGGATTGCACTCACAACAACTTTTGCTCTTTATGCCCTTATTGAATTGCCAAAAAGTTCCAAACGTAATGAAACACTATCAATAAAGATTGATGTATAAGATACTATATCAATACTCTTATTTAAAAGGAATCAGTCAAGCTGTTGGTTATCTAGAATATATGTGTTTCAGCGTGTGCCTACATATTACAGAATATCGTTTCTTCACAGTTTGGAGACTGTTTTGAGAAGTGTTTTGTTGTTGTCCATTGCTTTGGATATACATTTTAAAGCCACAGTTCAACTTTCTAGGATAAAACCGAATTAGCTAACTTGACAAAAGATAGATGAGAACATCCCCACCTCACTCATATCTGTCTTTTAAAATACAGATACAATTATGGCCGGTTAGCTTAGCATAAGGAATGGAAATGGGGAAATTTTTCATGAAGCCAAGAAATCAAACGACGCATAATCACCTGTTAACAACAACTTTTTTCAGTCTTTAGCACAGATATAAAGAGTATCTTAGCCATTGCTAGTAGCCACATTTTGTCATCTTGAATAGAGCCAGACTGGTCATTTTTAGTATTTATGCTAAGTTAACTGGCTTTTATGATCACAAAAAAGGATAGGCGAGTGGTATTGATCCACTTGTGTACAGCAACTCTAAAAAGAAAGCATCCTTCAATGTTGAACTTCAAATAATAAATTGCACTTTCACATGGGTGCATGTCAAATTTAAAAAGATATATAAATAGTTGTGATTTTTGAAGTTATTTCTTTTTTTGTTTCAGCAATCCTTGTCAATATTATAAAGCCTCATCCGACATCATTGTCAAGGTGATTCTCTGCATTATGAAGAATTATGAAGGGCATATCCACAAAATGGTCCAACCGGCTACAGTCAATAGTCCCTGGACATTACCGGACATTATTGACTGTAATGAGCGCTGTTCTCATGTCCGGGAATGGCCAAACATCTGCTCATGAATCTAAATGAGCTGCATCACAGGCAGGAGTCCAACAGGTTACGTATGTCCTTTAGGATTTACAACCAAACACTGTCCTGAGTCATGCTATTTACAAACAAGATTAATGCCTGGCTATTCTTACCCATGGGTCTTTGTCTAGTGGTTCTTTGAAAAGCCAATTCCCACACGTATAGCTCGCACCACAATTACCTGTTTTGGACTTTTAATTTTTTGTTAGAACTTGTTGATTCACTAAGATGTTATGTTTCCTTTTCCTTCCATCTCGAATGCCTCTCAACCTCAACCCACTTTGACCCTACTTTGACCACTCATGAAACATATTCCCCATGATTGAGAATGGCATTAATTGTGCCTGGCTAATGCTTATGTTCGCCCTCAGCAGTGAACCTGCAGACTATAAAGGACACCCTCAAACTCAGGCGTTCCACCAGCTGCCTTTGCCATGGTGACAGCTGAAGCCAAAGACGTCTCGCTAATCCGGCGGATTTGAGCACCTATTGGTCTCCGCTAGTTCCGCATGTGAGAGTGTGCTGCACTCACATGCAAATGTGCAGTGACACACACACACACACAAACATGCATGCTTACAAGAGCTTTGACTGCATGAACACCAAAAGACAAACATATTCATGCTGAATTGCAATGACTAAAAATTCATATTTTTTTAAATTAAAGCTGCAGATTCATTTCAATTACAGATGTTGACATCTTTTAACAGAGTGTCACCGAGATGACCCACTGACAGACATACACAGTCTTATTTTCCTGTAGGTTTAAGACATGACCATTTTCTCTGCCTCCTCGTCCTTAAAAAACAAGCCCTTGTACATGTGTTCAAGGTTATACGTTGTGTTTTTGTCATTTTGTTTACCTTAAGCTGCAGATAGACTGTGTATCTAAGCATGTCAGAGCAGAACCAACCCAACACATCCCCGCTCCTAGCTGCAAAACAGCTGATTAACACACACATACAGAGAAAAAGAGAGAGAGGTACAGCTATGAGGACAGGTAGATGAAAACATGTCAGCTGCTTACCTTCAGATTTATGGAATAAGATGGAGAATCCACATCCAGCTGTGTGTGAGTGTGTGTCTGTGTGTGTGCTGCTGCAGGAGCGACCGTCTTTCTGAGCCTCTGTAGGTTCGTCTGTGTGGAATTGAGTTCCAGTCTCCCTCCCTCCCTCCCACTCTCTCTCTCTTCCTCTCTCTCTCTCTCTCTCTCTCTCTCAGTCGACTCTATCTCTCTCGCTCACTGCATCAGTGCTCCACTGCTGTGTGGCTCCCGTCACAATGCCTGTGGTCACACCTCACCGAGCAAATTGTTCATTAGAGGAGACCAGCCAGTAGTGCGGACACTGGGAAACAGAGTCAGGCATCAGGATAGCATTTCTTATGCAAACACACATGCTGAATATAGCATAAACAGCTTTTACACATGTTGTTGTGCAAACACAAACAAGCTGTATGTTGGTAAAACTTTGACCTATAATTTAACTTGTATGCTGATGTTTGTGGGTTTGCAAATAAACCCAATGCTTCATTCAAAACCAAAGTTTTAGTCCTTGTTTTAGAAGTTTTGTCCATCCTTCCCATTGCGTACGATACTATTAGACTAAGAAAGCTAGTCCTAAGATTTCAATGAAAAAATACTTTATTCGTTATTTCCACCTAAAATATAAGTTCTGATTAGATGCCCTTTTGGCAAGAAAAGATTACATACGAAACCATTTGAGAAAACATTTCCATAGTGAAATTGATGATGGTTTGAGCTTTGATGGAAATGATTGTGGTAATGGTTGAAGGAAACCAGCCTTTACTGAATAAATGATAAAGGACACCAGTTGATCATCTTTTGTTGAAGTTTTAAGTTTGTTAACCCAATAAACCATCCTGCCACCCAATACATCTTCAGGCTTTATTTCTATAATTCAGTTGTATTTATAAAGCACATTTTATACAAATGTAAACTATATGACAGCATCTCATCCTTTCTTGCTTTGCTCCAGTTATCATTGCAACTACTGCGAGAAGGATTCGTCCCTTAAAGGTAATCGGGTTACATTTACTGGCAATCTTCCTTTACTACTGATAGTGATGTTTTCTTATGGAAAGTAGAACATTAGACGACCTGAAAGGCCAACAAATGAGTGGAGAAAACCAAGACAAAAGCATACTTAGAGTAAGATTTTGCATTAAGCAGTGTTTAAAATCTGTTGTGATTGCCTCTGAGTTATTTACCCGGGTGGCTTTACCCATGAAAGATTGATCAGATTTATCCTCTTCTGATAAAAGTCAATGGAGTCAACAAAACAAAGGTGAAGGTGAAGATCATGGTAACAGTTGACGTGGATGCAGAAGTTGATTTGCAAACACCCTGGTTGTTGTCCTTTTACTTTCTGCCATGTTACAATATTGGCAAGCTCCTTCTTGTGTGGGCATTAAATGTTGACATTTGACCCTAAACGTAAGTAACATAATTGTCCAATATGAGCGTAACTCTTTGGGATACTTGGCTGCCAAAATGACAAAAACAAGACCCACAAAGTACATCCATAAAACATCTGTTATTATTTTAATCCCATCCAAACCCACAACAACTCACGTCATATCCTACACAGTTTACATGAGGTTGATGAGACTCACCTTTTACACAGTTTGAATCATTATTCTGCCAGTATCTTTCATCCGTTCCCATCTGAGGTATCCAGTGTGTGTAGGGTGTTACTGTCGGACACTGACTTCCCCCATTCCCTTGACTCTATATAATCCCCAGGAATTTCCCAAATATAGAAACAATCAGCACAAGGAAACGTAATTTCCTGACCTGTGTTTGAATGGGCCTGCCTGTGATGAAAGCCCCTCCCCGGCTCAGCTTCCCGCCGGCGCAGGCAAGATTGCCGTAATAACATGTGTGACCTTGACTCTACTTGCTATTCTTACCACTTTTACTTTTCACCCCGGTGAGTTAAAAGAGTAGTTTCCTCACTACATGGCTGTTCTTTCTGCTTTGAAACCAACCCATTGTTATGTTTTTATAAAGAATAATTGGATTTAGATTGGACACCCTGTCTGCAAACGTACATCCTCAACACCTGGAGAGCACTCTATTATTCTGACCTTGAAAAGTAGTGAAGACAGCCATATGCTATGTAGATTACATGCAAAGAGTCTGACACAGAATGTACTGCAGACTAAACTGGTAAGGGAATGACTGAGACTTTTTCGATTTTCCCGTCTAACCATAAATTCGATGCACTTTTTTTCATGAAAAGCAACATATATGTCAGACACAATATATATTGCACAATTTTGTATCTTAAGCCTCACTCTAATCCCCAAACTTAAACTTGCCTTGTCCAAGAAGAAGTCAACTCATTTTTATAATGGTCTCAGCTCGATGACAGTAGATTTATTTCCTATCTCATTGAGGTTATCTAGCTTTTACCTCAGCTCATCAGTGCAGCTCCTGTATCCCAATACAATACTAGAAACAATATAACCTCTGTTAACCTGACTGCACTGTACTGAACTTTAACCCATATCCCTGTGTTATCAGTAACTAATGGCAGTGGACTTCCTCAGGTCTGTCTGGCGTCTTGAGGACACTAAAGTAGATTGGCGTCTTCTTGAGAATACTGAGAGTTCAGTGCGTTTTATGTGTGTGTGTGTGTGTATGTGCGTGGGACTTAATACTGATGTTCTCCTTGTACAGTCTGCTGACTCCAGCTTCAAAAAGTGCCAGACAATGGTAGATTGTGAAGCTGTCTTTGTCTTAAACACAATGGACTCTATCAATAGCTTATTGGCTCTGCCATCTATACGGACCCTGCCAAGGACTCTTTCGCTGCCCTTTTATAATGACAGTGAGGATCTTTTTCTCTACAGTGACCGGCTTCTTCCTGCAGCTTTTTCTTTTATTTCTGTGAGTGTGTTGGTCTGCAGAGTATGCAGTAGTTGCATGCCTTTCTGCTATATGTTTATGTAGGATGTACTACAGTACCTGTTAGATAAAAACAGTGTGAGGTGATTAATCAAAGTTTTAATAATATGGAATAGCAGCAGTCCTGGTGTAAATATGCCCTTTGAAAAAATCCATAAGGACAATCTCACTTTGGAAAAATCCAATTTACACTTGGTAACTGCTGAAGAACGCGGCACCCTCCCCTTCCCGTGTGTGTAGGCTATGTTGTGTTTTAACGAACGTGCGCCCACACAGCTACCCTGCAGATTTGATTTGGCTGATTAGTGCTGTTAGATGAGGATCACAGATGACCTCTGTGGATTAATCAACCGCATTGAGGAGCCTGTGAGATAAATATTGTTGCTGTCATCTTTGCGATAACATTACACATACTGCTAAATATAACTATGTGGACACATTCAGTCTTGCATTTAAAATAAGGTATGTTCTGTTTAAAGATGCTCAAAGCTAAACTATGAGCAGTTTAGCAGCTAACTTCACTGACACAAATGTAAAGTGCTAAGAATGCGTTCCTTCCAAAGCTATCTATGGTAGTTCATAATCAAGAAGCTCCTCATGTTGGTTATCTTATATGGCTAACATGATGGCTTAAAGTAGATTTTTACATATCCAGGAGACACAAAGTAACATTAATGTTAATCTTGAGTCGTGTTTCAAGCCATGACATGAAGCAGATGCACTGTTTCCATGGTAAAAAGGCGCACATAACTTGCTTTCCCCTGATTGTCTCTACACAGCACCAATCAGGGGGAAGTATTCCCTCTCCCTGCGGTGCAACCTAAATTGACAATATGGCAGATTGTTTAAAACAGAAAATGACAGCTCGAGCTTTCAAATGGGATTTTGATGCAGGTGTTGCAGGTGTCCGCTGAGATGTGGGCCTGCCATCTGTAGTCAATGACTGAATGTTTAATACATTAGCTCTGCGCACCTACTGGGGATTTCACATGGTTTCCATACTAATAAAGGAGATTGATGTTATTAAAAAAAAAATCTCCTCCCTCGGTCGACAGGTGACACACTTCAGATACAGCAGCCTCTAGACATATTATGAATGCACATTACGGACCCTTCATTGAGAAGGTCGAAACATGGAAACGTTGAAATGCTGCTTCTTTATTGAACAGGGAATTTACAATATTTATATACAGTGGCTTAATCAACATTTTTATAACAACTGCTGAATAAATGACTATATCTAATAAAAAGAAGTGACAAATTCACAAATAGTTATAGATAATTGTGCTGTACCCTTTGACCCTGCATAGCATTTTAGCCCTTTTCAGCTCGTTGTTTTGGTTCTGCAACTGACAATTTTAATGCTTCAGGACCACACCAAAATGTAGCGTCTAACTCTGCTTGTTTGGTGTCAAAAAACAGACAAAATAAGCAATTAATTGCTAGATATCCTTAAGGAGGTGGTGGAGACCAAACCGGAGGATTAAGATGAGTTGATATTGGGCTTTCTCTCTAGGTGGCCGAACACATTCTCAAAATGTTTGCTGATTTTGCTAATATTTGTACTCATTTTGTAACGATGAAGAGTCACTACCAAATACATGAATTGTAAACAAAAGTCATCTAGATTAATGTTTGGGCTTAATTTGACTGTTTTCATTACAGGATGAGCTAATAGCACATTGAATTTCCCTGTTTAGACTTGAGTTTAACATGATGGTCTTGGGTTCTTAACATGAATTTCAGAAGATGAAGAGCACGTGAATAAAACTGCTGGATGAAAGCACAACTCCAGACTGTTTTGCTCATGGTTCATTAACGATTAGCTACACTTTCAAACCATGGTAAATACAGAATTGCAAATTGCCACATGTTTCCTGTACTTGGTTACGGTTTTATTTCCCTTCCTGATGCTACAAATAGCGTATTGAAATACATCAATTCCTGCGTTTGAAATGGTTTTGTTGTGCTTGCTTAGCCTCACATGGCATTGTTGCCACATGTGCCTGAGTAGTAAATCTTTAGTGCTTCAGATATGCTTGGTGTTATTTCATTATATGCGTGAAGTGTTAGAGAGACACGTGATGCCAGGAGAAAAATGGAACAGCGATAGGTTAGAGGGGTAAAAGGGAAAGACTGGAAGAAAAAGCAGGAAGCTGCTACAGAATTTCCACACCCTGATGTGG